ACCTTATCAGGTCTCCACAAGAGTGGGTGGGAGGCTCACGGCATGCCTTTCCTAAAGCGGCGAGTGACTGCCTCTAACACTTGCCATTCACTATCCCCTTTAGTTCTCTTTCCTCCCTGTGTCTTTTGCTTTATTGTGATTCTTGCTGAGCCTCTTTCCTGCTGCTGATTTGAAAATGAAGACCATGAACCGGACCCTCCTGCTTTCTCTTTTAAGCAGATGCAAGCAGATTCTCGATGACACTGGGACAAACATCAGCGAGCGCCAGTTCAGTGGGACCGTTTCCAACACCACAGTGAGCTCTCTCTCCAACATCGGTCCAGCTACCACCGTCTCCACCTCCAGTTCTAGAGAGACCTATGACAACGCTCACTTCTATATCCTGTTTGTAATGTTCTTCTACTCTTTCCTCGCCATGACACTTTTTAAATGCTTCATAGACAGCGACGAAGAAAAAAAGGATCCCTATGAGGAGTTCATAAAAACCGGGCAGCCGTCAACACAGGCATTCAACGCAGACCACATGGCAGAGAAGTTTTACTTTGAAGAGGAGAACAGCCTGTGAGCCACGGGCTTTCTAAGGAGAAGGAGAAGGAGAAGGAGGGGTATGAATGCATATGGGGGGGATGTTTTGACAGTCACCAAGCCAGAAAAACGTCAGGGCAGACTACTCAGGCAAGACCTGCTAGTGATTTTGAAAAACCTGTAGTAGATTCATTCCCCCCCTTCCATCTGACAATCAGGAGCCTTATGCAAGCAGGCTGTTCGACAGGCAGGAGGAGACGGCTGCCTCTGATGATCTGAGAGATGGGTGGAAACATAGAGAAGTGTGGGTCAATGGCAGGCCGGAATCTCCTCCTGTGAGGCCCAATCAGGATCACTAACAGCAGGGCCTTCAACATGGGTACACCACAGGGAACCTGGGATTCGCAGCAGACTGAGGGTGGTGGAGGGCAGAGACTCAGTGAGTGCGTATGTGTGATAAAAGTGTGTGTGTTAACCAGCCATTTAATTATCTGTAAATTCCGCTTGAACTTTTTACTGCATTATTTTTACTTTGTCAAATAAAAACACAACAAAAACTTTGAATCCTGTGAGAGCAAACAGATAAGCGTTATTTAAAACTATATATAACTGTATATTCTATGTTTTTAGACAAACAAGTTCAACAGTAGCCATATGCTTGTGAAAAGACAGTGTTTTTGAAAAAGATGAAATGACATCCAATTCTCAAATTGGTTCTAATTAGACCCCAAGCTCCGTGGAATATCCAGGACCGAGCGACATTCCTTTGCCATTACATTGTAACTGATCTGTGGAGACTTGACGCACGGCTACAGGGCCGCCCCAACCTCTCCGTGACCCCACATGATCTAAGTTTACAAAGCTGTGGCGAAACGTGAACCCACGACTCATTCTACAGAATTAACTTCAGGGATTGTGCAGAGGACTGTGCAAATAGAACACACGCTTCTCATTTGCGCAACGCAGCGCAAACGTTACCTTTGCGGAGAACAGGAGGACGCTTCAAATTAGCAGACCGGTGTGTGCCAAAAAGTGATCGGCTGCCAATAACTGATTTCCAATGTTTCCATGTGTTGTGTATGTGTAATGTCTTCACGTATATTGGTAAATAGACTTTAGTGAACAGGATTTACAAAGGATTTATATACAAATTTAAAAGTTTTTTTTAAGTATCTTTATGATTCTTAGTTATTGTACCCACATTATGACCAATCTGGTATTTTTTGTTAACTTAAAATATGTTTACAGAACTATTCTTATATTTGTTGCAATTTCAGGTACCTTCTTGGCCAGATCACGCTTTAAAAAAACGTGTTTTTATGTAATTTTAACTATATATATATATAAGATATATAAAATCCTCTTCACCAAAAAAAAGTGCTTCTACCTTGTGACAGTAATGATGTTTGTGACACATTTGACATATATTTCGCATATAGGACAACAAATCCTCTACAGCAGTTTAAATACGGAAAGTCACTTTTTTGGTAAATACCGGAAATCACCTTTTGGCAGACAGTCACTTTTTGGCAGCTACAATGTGATATGCATCTCGGGTCATCGCGCAGACACGGAGTAAAAGTAAAGATACATAATAATAAACTAAAAATGCAAAAGCCTTCTTCTGGATCCTGCAGAAGTTAAGTTTCCGGGGTCAAAGGTGGGTCTGGAGTGACACCGGTCTAATTTGAACTATCCGCCCCAAAAGGTTATGCCAATCCCCGAGGCCATGTGGAGCTGTTTCCTCTTCTTCACTCATAATTACATTTTTGTCTCATCCTCCTGGCATGAAGAGTTTGGGGTCACCACCTGTACTAGTGTACAGCACCGACTTCACGTTTGGAGCATGACTGCGAATATTTTCTCTCACCAGACAGTTCACGCTAAACAGATGCGTGGGTTTACGTCATTTTATTACCCCGTGACTTTAGCTGTTTTACCTGCAAACAATCAGAAATAGATATGATATGACTTTTATTGTCTCAGTTGATTGATATATCAGATGTTCTTGGTGCAGAGCCTTCACTGTTTCACTGGAGATGTGGAAAAACATGCATGCAAAACATATATATTTTGTTTGTTGTTGTTGTTGTTTTTACTGATAATGTCACTCCTTTTGTATCTTTGGAAATTGGATAAACGACTCAACCGAGGTCTTTAAAATAGACTTTAAGAAAATATTACCTGTTATGTGATCTGAAGAAACGTGCCAATAAAATCCACACAAACTTTTAACTACAGTGCTGGATTGCACTAACGTCTGTGTCACTAACGTCAAAGACCTGGGAATATGCTGCCACCTGCTGGCAAAGATTATTCGCCACTAAACCGTTTACTGGCAATATTTTCTCCTGCTACAAGCGTCACCCACGGCCAAGTAATTGTGATTGAGGGCCGGCACTAATAAAACGAGCTGAAAAAAAGTTTGTAGATGTTCACATTTGCATTAATCAGGGCCATACCATTAATTAGGCTGACTGGTTCACATTGCTTGAGTATCAAAATGGCAAAA